TCGGAGGCGGGGGGCGAGCCGAAGCCAGGACCCGCGCGGGGTTTCGCTTCCTGCTCCCAGCCCGAAATAGCACCCGCCACCGCTGTATTAAAATCGGGAGTGGTATTTTTAACCAGCGCCGGGTGAAAAAGCAGAGCAGCTTCCTCTGAGAGTGCAGCGGCCGTGACGGGGCTGGGAAGGGCAGCTGCCCCCCACCTGCCTCCTGCTCCCTGGGGGCACCCGGCCTCCCCGGTCCCCTGGCACCCATGGGTGTGTGGCGCCCCAGGGTCCTGGCTCAGTGCCCCTCTGGCCACCAGCAACGGCTGCGCCCCCTGCCCCCTGGGCTCCGTTGCGGGGTCAGCAATGCCCCCGTGGTGGGGGATTCCCGTACGCTGGACCATGTCACCCCCCCTCTCCGGCACCGAGTCCCATGGCACTGGGGCAGCACGAGGGGCTACAGGGCACCGTGCCAGAGGCTCGGCTGCAGCGCTGGGTGCAGAGGGTGCAGGGATGGGAGCAAGGGGTGCACGGTGCATTCAGAGGGTGCATGGTGGGTGCACGGCGCGTTCAGAGGGTGCACAGTGGGTGCACAGTGCGTTCAGAGGGTGCACAGTGGGTGCACAGTGCGTTCAGAGGGTGCACAGTGGGTGCACAGTGGGTGCAAAGGGGCTGCAGGGCCTGGTGCAGAGTGGGTGTGGGCTGCGCGGTGAAGGCTGGGTGCAGGGCTGCTGGGGTGCAGGGCTGCTGGGTGCAGGGTGGGTGCAGGGGTGCCGGATGCAAGCGTGCATGGTGGGTGCAGGTCAGGCAGCAGGAGCAGGGGTGTCAGGGGGACCCCAGCACCCGGCGCTGCCCCTGGGGCTCCCCTCCAGCTCGAGGGGTGATGGTGGTGGTGGGGGGTGGGGCCCGTGCCGCCCCCCGAGCTGGGCGCAGGGTGCTTGCGTGTGGGTGCCTGGCGTGACTGCACCCGGGAGGTGAGAGCAGGGGGAAACCGCAGGGAGGCCCGGCATGATTCAACGCCGTGGGGCCGTTTCTCAGAAACCTTCCTGGCTCCCACCGCGCTTCCCGGTGCGGCTGCACCGGAGCCAGGGACGCCCCACAG